TGGGATCCACCCCATGCCAAGCGGTTTTATTCCCATCAGTTTGCTGGGAATAGCTGGCCTGAGCCGCAGAACCATCACATGAATGGGCACTCCACAGGGTAAGCGCTCCACAGTGTGAGCGCCCCACCAAGCAGCTGAAGGACTGTTGGCTCTGCCACCCCTGGCCAAGCATGCCTCACTATCTCTCAGCCTTTGCTTTTCTGTGCATTGCCTGTGCATGTTCTGTTCTGTGTCAGTTCATCTGCTGAACTTCGGTATTTTGGCAATGGCTTTATAATCACTGGCTTTACATTAGCGGCTGTTCTTTTTCTAACATGTTTGGCCAATATTTTTCCAACTTGAATTTCTAACTTAATTTAAGTTCTATCATTTCCTCCCTGCTGGATTTCGTTTTTGTTTTTATGTATTCACAGCCGTGGGTCTCTTTTGCATCATCTCCAGGTCTTGTTTTGCTAGAGGAGGCTCACACACTCTGCAGGAGAGGCAGTAAGTGACAGTCACAACTCTGCCTGGGAGAGGACATGCCAGCGTGGTTTGATTTTGCAGTGGCCCGTGTGTCAAAGGCTCCGTCCCCAGCAGAGTGTCATGGGGAGGCAGTGAAGCCTTTGATAGCTGGGGCCTAGTAGGGACTCTGGGCCACTTCAGGTGTGTGTGGCAGGGATGGGGACCCTGCTTTCCTCTTTTTCTTCATTTTTTTTCTTCCTTGCCAGAGAAAAGAAGCTGTGGTCCACCACGCATTTGTACCTGGGTACACTTCCTCATGGGCTCAAGGCAGTAGCACTCACCAGCCATGGACTGGAACCTCCTCAACTGTGAGCCAGAAGAAACTTTTCACTTTACAAGTAGAGTACTCGGGATTTTATTACAGTGTAGAAGACTAAGACATATAGAAATAATTCCACCAATTGCAATAAAAACTCAAATATTTTTCTACTTAGATGGTATTAAGTTGTTTAAATCAATAACTAGGAAAATAAAAGGGAAGGGGGCAAGTGGCATAGGAATGTTTTCCCTGCCAGAAATTAAGGGCTAGAATAATAAAAGCCAGTGATGCAGATGCAGAAATACATAAGGAAATAGAACAGGATGGAGTCAAGAGGTGCCACCAAGAATAAATGGAGGTGCTGGATCCCATACATATAAGTGTGATGTTTCACTGGCATGCACAAAGCAGAGCCCCCAAAAACAGCTGGGCTGGAGAGGCAGGAGAGGAGGCAAAAGCCCCCAACTGGCACCTTCAAGCCTGACTCATCTACGTTGTGGCAAATCCCTGGCCGTAAGTGAAATTCTAAGTGGGAATACACAGAGCCTTTCTGAACACACAAAGGCTTAATAACAAAGGAGGAGATGGGCAGAGTCGGCAGAAAGATATGGCTAATTCTGCAAGGTCATCCTTATCAAAATCAAAAGGCACTGGTGAAACGTGGGGACACAGAGTGACACCACACAGGACGAAGGATGAGTATGCAGGGCGCAAAAAGGTCCATTCAGTGGCACAGGAAGGAGGGAACCACAATGACAGGAAATAACATTCTGGGAAGAAATGAGCAAAACTGACCCAGAAAGCCTGGCGCTCAGAGTCAGCCACGTTGTGAGACAGATAGTGGCCTCCCCAGTGTCACAGGAGCATCTGGTGCCAGGGCAGCGGTGCCACTCCCACCTGCATGAGGCCACGCTGTAAACTGAGCTTGGCAGTATGAAGCATTTCCAAGTCAAGCATAGGATTTTAGAAACCAAAACAATGCTAGAATGTATACAAGTTTTATTGCCCACATGATTAGCTTAAAATTTTAATTTAAAAAACATCAGTGTTGTGAAGGGTGTGGTGTTGGCATCTGCCACTGGCAGGTGGCAAGGAGCAGGGGACAGGAACGCTACGAAGGACAGCCAGGGCAGAAGGATGAACGTGTCTCGTGACACAGAGCTTTCCCTCCTGGGTGTGTACAGGTGTGTGTGTTTGTATGTGTGATACATGCAGACCTGTGATATGCACAGACCTTGCAGTCCTGGGTATGAACGTGTGTGACTGTAACACACATGTGCCTAGGAGCGAGTGTTGTGTCATCACACACGTCCACCTTCAGCTCACCCACATCAGGGACGTGAACATGAGGATACCTGTGTATACAAACACATGTGTAACTGTATATTGCATGCATATATGAGTACACACAGATACATACCGACCATGTGTGCATGCATGTGTGTGCACACATGTGCCAGGGAGCAAATGTACAGTGAATGTGCATCTCTGTCCTGCAGCAACTCTAAACCCATGTGTGTGTGTCACCCAAGTGTGCAATCACCTGGGTGAAATTACATGGCCTACAAGGAAAAAAAACTGCATACAGCTTAGCTATCATTCAGCAGGGAAACGTGTACATGAGCTGTAATTTATTCATGCTGCGGAACAGTATATAAAACATAATATACAAATTAGGCTATAGGTAGAAATATCTTTTAAAAGTAAGAGAAAACCTAAAATTCACATAGCAAGATACACGGTGGAATACATTTCCACTCACCTATGGCCCTATGCAAATGAAGTAACTTTATATGCGCTAATACACACTCACAAATTATGTTGACTTCAAGGGAACAAGCAGGACCCCCTCCAGGGTTTTTCCTCTAACGCTGTTGTACTTGGAAATTCTGAAACAAATTGCAAAATATGCACGTGCTTAAAGTCCACGGAGGAGCCACTTTCACTGATAAATGTATTCAGCATCCCACTCATCTCTTTTTATAAACACGCACGTGTGTGTGTATCTTGCCGTATGTACATCAAGCAGGTTGCTTCATTAGCAGCCTCTTCTGTCTTTGTTTCTCTCTGCCTTTCGTCTTATGTGCTCCCCACACACTCGAGCAGGGCACCTTAGCCACAAGCTACAGTGTTCCCACACCATCCACTCCTGTGCCCATGGGCGCACATCGCTGGTCTCCGGCATCTGTCTGTGCTCCCTGCTCTCATGTGGACGGCAGTAAGCGCACCGGCGGGGCTCCTCGGCTCTCCCGCAATCACAGGTGCTGCTTTGATTGGCTTTTTCATCCACCATATCGGAAGGCAATATCTCTAATCTCTCTCCCTTCCTCCCTCCCCTTCTCTCTCCTTCCCTTCATAATATAGTTCATGCTGTGGGTGAACAGAGTTGTTTATTTGAGAGCCCCCCAATTTAGAACATTTCACTTATTTCTAGTGTTTAACCCCTGGAACCAAGCTGTGACCAGCATCTTTGCCCAAAGATCCTTATGTAGGGTGCTTTATTCCATGGGCCATAGAAACATACACATTTCCCAAAGTTTTCCATACCATTATAACAAAAGTGGTCACGGTGTGTATTAGGATGATTAAATTTTCCATGTGTATTTAAAGTCTCTTTCCATGTGTATTGAAAGTCTCTTATTGCTTTCTTGGCTGACTAGTGTGACCTGAGTATATAGAATTCCTGGGTCACACCCCCCTTCCCTCCCCCTCAGCCCCCCTTCCCTCCTCCTCCCCCTCCCCCCTTCCCTCCCCCCCTTCCCTCCTCCTCCCCCTCCCCCTTTCCCTCCCCCTCACCCTCCCCCTTCTCTCCTCCTCCCCCTCCCCCTTCCCTCCCCCTCACCCTCCCCCCCTCCCTCCCCCTCACCCTCCCCCTTCCCTCCTCTCTCTCCCCCACCCCTCTCCTCAGCCTTTTCTCCCTAAATATTTTTGGAGTACCTTGAGGCAAGAATGATCTGTTTTCCTTTCTAAATTATTATCTCTTTCCTAGTGTTTATACGATTTATTCAAGTATAGTCATTTCCACAGAATGTCTCAGTGAATGATGTCTTCCTACACATTTTTCTTAAGACATAATTAGCATTCTTGACCTAATAACGTAGGTCTTCCATAATTTCAAAACTGTTTTATAAACTCTCTTTAAAAATCATTCTTAACCCTTCTAAATGTAATTTTCTGTTCCTGTGTATTTTTTCTGTAATCCCGAAATGTTCAGTATCAGTTCTTTTTAGCTTTCGAATTATTTTTCTTCTGACCTGTGCCCCAGGCCAGTGATCTGTGACCAGCGTTTAAGTGAATTATCCTCAATCTTTTCTCACTGCTTGTTTGAAGTGTTCAGAGTTCCATTTTTTAATGGAACTTTTAATGCTGGTTTTTGGGCAATACCTCATCACATGACATTTCAGTAATTGCCTGAAAATTACAACACGTACCCTAAACTTCATAGCCCTCTCAGAGTTAATACTGCGATGTTTACATAAATGTGGAATGGACCAGGGGTTTAGCTCAATAGCTCAAGTGCTTGCCTGGTAAGCACAAGGTCGTGAGTTCGATCCCTAGTACCAAAAAATAGAATAAAATAAAATGTGAAAGCCTGATGACCATACAGGTTTGGGACTACCTTTGACTCCTACTGGAAGCTGAGCACTTGAAGTTTATGGTTTGTATTTTTTTCCTTTTCTTTTATCCAATAGTCTGAGGAAGAAAAGAATTTTTGTGTGTATGGTGGCACTGGGAATCAAACCCAGAGCCTCACACATACTAGGCAAGGTTCTACCAGGGAGCTACCACACCAGCCCAGTAAATTCTTCATGGGGAGAATTTCCCCCAAATTCCAAAAGAAAACCAACCATCCCCTTCCATTTCATGTGCTTCCTCCTCACCCATGGGTACGAAGCTGTGAGCCTGTGTACTTTTACACACACACACACATTTGACACACCCCTGTACAAATAAAGGTTCTCTAGCTACATATGCATGATTTTAAGGACTGTTGTCCCCTGAAAAAATCAGCAGTGGGACCCCTCTGCGCCTCCCCTGTTGGAAGCAGGAGGACTCTCACCAGGAGTCAAGTGATGCAGAAAGCACCCTTCAGGCACAGCTTCCATCTCCCACCCCCTGACCTTTACTGTGCAGTTCTCCCCTGGGGACAGGGCACAAGCCTGCTGTCCCACACAGTGAGAAGATGACGCAAACCAACAGAAAGAAGCACAGTCACACACCAGGAGAAGATGCAGGATTGTCTGGGTTTGCTAACACATGTTGGTGGTGCACGGCCCACATCACACCTGCACCGTGGGCTGTGCACACCTATCCCCAGGGATTACACGACGCTGGGGAAAGCCTCCGTGTCTCTGCAACAAGACAGGCTTTGGGGTCCCCTGGGAAGGTGACACTGTACCACCAGTCTCTCAATGCACATGGGTCATCTTCAAGAAAGGAGTTTCCAGGTCATAACAGAGCACCCTGGGAGGTTTAAATGTTTGATTTACCAAAGCCGAGTGGCAGGTTCTCAGAACAAAGAGTGACTCTTTTTTTTTTTTTTTTTTTTTTTTTTGTCTTTTTCCTTTTTATCGGTACCGGGCATCAAACTCACAACTGCCTGCATGTAAGGCAGGCGGCTTATGCCGCTGAGCTAAATCCCCAGCCCCTCAAAGAGTGACTCTTGATGATGTGACAAAACTGTAAAAGCACTGAAATAAAGATCCACCCATGCCAACCGTGGCTCCTTCCTCTGGGAAGATCTGAATTATTCCTCAGAAGATTCCAGGTCTTCAGGACGAAGCCTTGTGTGAACAGCTGAACTTGAGATGGAGAAAAGCAACAGGGAAATCTTCAGATGGAGAAAAAGAAAATTCCCACAGCAAAGAGAACAAAAGAGACAGTGTCCCCAAGCCCTTGCCCTGCGTTTCTCATGCACATGCGCCTGGCTCCCAGGACCCGCAACCCGGGCCTCTGCACCCTCATCCACACACCCAGCTGCCTTGCCCAGCTGGCCTGCAGAAGTCCCCCAGCAGCCTGCTCTGGGTGGACTTCGCAGCCATCCCGGGGATGCTCCAGTGGGAAGGTTCTAAAGCCACAGGGTCACAGGGCCCACTGGGTGTCCCGTTCCAGGAACCAGCTTCCAGGAAGGAGCTGGGCTCAAGCTGGCTCTGGCTTCCTCAGGGTCCCCTGGAAGATAAAAATAAACATGCATTAATCCTGAGAATTTTTTGTGGAATTATGAAAATAGTCTGTTGTAAAATGCATCCAGATGTCAGCCAAGGCCGAGTCGATTGGAATAACAGCTCCGAGTCCAATCAGCAGAGGTCGGCTGGGCAGGCTGGGGAGGAAACCTCCAGAATGCCCGGTCAGGGGATGAGGAGGGAGCCGGAGGCCCCGGGCTGCTCTACCGGACATAATTGCGTAAATCAGCTACAAAAAGAATTCATGGATCAACACAGACTTTTTTTTAAAAGATTAATTTTTTCACAGCTAGGGGCAGGTTTACAGGAGACCAAAACAAAAAGAGCCATTTGATAATGAGAAGGAACTTTGAAAGAGCAACGATTTTTTAAGCTTCCTCTTGACTTAACCCTTATTAATTTTTTATTATCAGTTAAAAAAAAAATTGAAAGCCAGGGATTTAGCTCAGCAGCATAAGCTCCTTCCTGGCAAGCGGTAGGTTGTGAGTCTGATCCCTAGTACCAAAAAAAAAAAAATTTTTTGAAAGACCCTTAAATTTGCTTCCTGTTGATTCACAAGTCCAGTCCTTCCAAGATGTGTGTGTCGGGATTCTTTGGAGCACTTACTGTTAACTTTGGAGCACTAACTGTTAACACCTGTGAGAGTAATCTCCATGTCCATCTGTGGGACATCGGCTGAATAAATCACACAGGGACACACACACACACACACACCTGGACAGTAGACAAAACTCGTGTAGAGGGTGAGGGCGCTGGAGAGCTGCTGAGAGCCCTCTGGCCTGTAGCAAATGTGGAAAGCAAAGACCAGGGCTTGGAACAACCCAGGTCTGGCCACTGTGACCCTTTACTCCATCAGCCAGTGTTTCTGGGTCCATGCAGGGAAATTCTGGGAAGAAACCAAGGTCTTTGAAGGCCACCTCGGAGAGGTGGGTGCTTATGCTTTGTGAGCTCAGTTTTCCTGGAATGTTGGAATGTTTTACTCTAAGCATGTATTGCTTTTGTAAAACATTACTAGTTTAAGAGAGCAGGAGAGGGTCAGGGAAAGGATGAGGGGTCTGAGGAAGAGGAAGCCATCAGCCCTGGAAATCTCACTTTAGGGGTGTGGGGAGGACCTCTGTGGAGTCACCCACAGACCCTAGCAGCACCATGCAGTGCTGGGCCACTAGCTCAGTTCCCTGAGCATTCTGACCACAAGCCACAGCACACTGGCATGATGAAGACTGCACCCCAAAATCTGCCTTCTTAAAAGGAGAGGCAGACAGAGCAGATTGGAAGCTTTCTGCTTCCAACATAGAGCCTCACTGCCTGCTGCTGGGATCCACTGGCAGCCATAGGCCTTGCACATTATGGATGGATACAGCATCCCACTTCCCAGGGTCATCTCGAGCTCATGAAGGGCTCACATCACCTAGACACAGCCCCCCGATATTCTGCAGTAGGCCAGGTGCCTGCCCTCTGGACCCACAACTCCTCCCCACGGTCAAGTGGGGTCCTGTGACTCAGGTCAGGGAAAGATTTCCCCAGAAGACACAGGAAGTGTTATAGTTTAGTGCCCAGAAGAAATCCAGATTCAGGAACCCCTTCAAAGTGAATCTAGAGGTGCATAAAGCTGGACAACTGGAGAAAATGTGCATAGAAACTATAATGCAATGGAGCATTGGGAACCTGAAGGCGAGGTAAGAGCAGCAGACTCAAAACAAGAAGCCAAGGACTTGGAATAGCTTGGTTTTGTGACTGCCTTGGGGGGGGGGTGCTCTTTTAAATTTTTATTGATATATTTGTACCACATAATGATTACATCCATGTTGGGGAGCTACTGCATGCACATAACCATCACCAACTGAATTCTTTTAAATTCCCCTCCCCTGCCCATCCCTCCAGCCCAGCACAGGGCTGGGATGGGAACGCCCTTCCTGTATGGGACAGGCTGTGGGACATGGCTGGGCTGGGGGGCTGGGGTCTGAGGGCCACCGTCCCACTGGGACCTTAGTGATCCCCACTAGGCAGTTAGCATCTTGCATGTTGGTTTGAAAGAACTCTTCACATGGTCATGACACTGACCTCTGCCACACGTACCCAAGTCAGCATGTATCTGGCTGCCTGCGCACTAGCCAGGCACGAGCGAGGCCTGGAGTTCACTGTCCAACACTGTCAGAAATAAAAAAAGTACCAAGATCAGCTTATTTTATTTTTTTTATTATGACGTTTTCCACTCTGAAGAGCAATTCTTTTTTGCAGGATAGTAAATTCTGTCAAATTTTCCTTTAAAGTGTCTGACTTTAAGATTCCAGTTTGAGAAGCCTCCCCATGACAAGATGACATAATCATCGTCTGCCATTTCCTTCCAGCATTTTTATGGCTTTGTTATCTTGGGTTTAATTAACTTGATAAAGATCTCAATTTTGGCTGCAAGTGTTTTTGCCAGATTCGAACCACTGGAGGTGGCGTGGGTCTGGTTCCCACCGTGCGCTCCTGCAAAGCCCTCCTAGCGCATGGTGACCACCGAGGACAGGTCACAGCCACTCCATCACTGAAGCAGTGCCCTGCGCTGCCACCACCGCCACTGCCACAGCCATAACATGACTTCATCTTTCCAGAATGTCCGAGGCTTACCTCGCATTTCTCAATTCCAGGCACAACTTGGCATCTCGTGTTTTAAGTCACACCGGCGTCCACCCGGCACCGAACGTATATGTCCTGGGGAGAGTACTAGAGTTTTATGTTTTAAGCATGACTTTTTTATTAAGTTTTTATCAGGTTTTTTCCATCTCCGCCAGAAGAAAATTTGGAAGTTTTCTTTCTTTCTGCAATAGTTTCTGGAACAGTTTCAGTAAAATAACGATCAGTCCCCTAAGTTTCGGCTGCACGCCCTGTGTTACGGTAATGAGGTTCTAGGCGGTGTGCAGCGGTAGCTCGGATGCTCTGTGACAGAAGCCGGCTGCAAAAGCCTTCCTGACTCTCCGAGGTGCACCCGCTTGACCCTGGCCACTGGTATAATTCTGTTCCCTGAGAGAACCCGCAACCTCCCACAGCCTGTTGCTCTGCAAATCCCACACGCCTTTGCTCTAGTCGCCTCATTCACCTCCCTCCCCTTCCAGGACCCCACCTCGGGGCTGCACACTGACGTCACCCTCCGTTCCCCTCTCCGTGAAGGGTTCCTGTTGTGCTGTGTCGGCACCTGGCGGTTCCAGCCAACGCTGGCTCACAGGAATCTCCAGGAGACCCCATCTGCTCATCACTGGTTCTGTGCCATTTTGGTAACTATCACCTGCCTTTCCACTGGATGGCACTGGGCAGCAGCGGTCACCATGGTTTTTATCTCACCTCATAGACACTCAGGAAAGAGGACTTGCAGAGCTGCTTCAGAAAGTGGTGAGAACATGGGGTAAGTGTGCGTAAAGAGAGGAGTGCTCTGTAGAGAATTCATGGCAACGTACTTTTTACTGCAAGGCTCTGCTCTGTTTAAACATGCACCATGCAATTCCACCACACCCGCATCTCCTTGTTCATGGCTCTCCACTCAGGCTCCCTGCATGAGACGCCACCCCACCTGGCACAGGTGCCCCTGGGGAGAGACCCACAGCTCCGCCACCCTCACCGCTGTGGCTCCACCCCACCCCAGAGCCCAAGTGTTCCCTTTCCTATTTCATAGCATTCTTATTCTCTTGCCTCTGTCTCGAAGACACCAACCAGATGTTTTCTAAAACATCCTTCCCTTTCCTGCAGAGAAGATCTGTTCTTTCTCCATGTCCTGCAGATGATATGTAGTTTTCCTTGAGCTGCAGAATCATTCCAAGGGACTTCCCTTTCATGTCTGCTCCTACTTGGAAGAGGAAACGTGTAACCCACTTGGCGCTGCCGACCGACACTGGATATCGTCCGTCCTAGGCTCAGCAGACAGAGAATCTGCCGGCACCTTGACCTTGGGCTTGAGAAGTATTTTTACGTCCATTTGTATAAGCCACTCCCTCTATGGTATTTTGGTAGTGCAGGCAAGGGGACCAACTCCTTTCTTTCCTCCTCTCGCTTTTCTCTTTTTACAAATAATAATAAGCATGCTATGGCCTTGAAGGGCTCTCTCTGCACAAAATAGTATCATTCTGCAAGACAGCACCTTCCCATCTACTCTGCAGGACCAGTGCTGCTACCATCAGGCCCGTTCAACAATCTGCCCAGGAGGGCCAGTGACTTAGCAGAGGCCACAGCAAGCACCCGGCAAATATGGAATTCAGCCCAGCTGTCATGTCCCGTGGTCTGGCCCTGCCCCTGCCCCTCTGTGATGCAGGCTGAAAAGAGGCATCTCAGACTGGAGCCCAGGGACAGGATGTGGGCAGCAGGATGGGGCAGCGCCACTCCCCTCTGCCCCTCCAGGATGCTGCAAGCTCAGGCAAGGCTCTCCCCACTCTCCTGGCTATGCCTTCCCCTTTCCGCCCTCCCCTCTGGGCCAGAGCCCCTGCCAGCACCAGTGGCAGCCAACACAGGGAGTGTCCCCCTATGGTACTGTCCGCACAGTCAATGTCCTTCCCACCTCAAACCTGGTGGGGTGCACAGGACAGAGAGCATGGACCCCAGAGGGCTGGGGGGCAGAACTGAGCACTATTTCTGTCTGACCTAGAACCTGTGCTCTCCTTCTGCTATTGGCCCATTTCCTGGGGTTTGGACATGTTCCCATGAGTCCCTCAGGAGCGTGTGCTGGAAGCCTGGCCTCTAAGCAGGACCTCTAAGAGTTACAGTGCAAGCTGCGCTCAGAGGGCCTAGTGTTATTCTCAAGGGACCTGGTCAGTGGCTATGAGAGCAGGTTATCATCCACAGGACAAGATGGGCCCCTCTGCACTCTCCAGCTTCCTGTCTTACCATTACCCACTCCCCGCTCTGTCTCTCTCGTGCTCCCATCATGATGCCATCGATCAGTCATGGGGTGAAGCAGCTGCCAGGGCCCCTGCACCACAGGCCAGGAAAGCAGGGCCACCTTGTCTTGTACTCTCAGCCTTCAAATCTGAGCTAAGCAAACCTTTCTTCCTTGAAAAGTATCCAGCCTCAAACACTTTGTTAGAGCAACGAAGACAAGTCACCAATATGTAAAGGAAGTGTAACAGGTCAGTAGCTGATAGGGAGGGGCAGGAAGGGAGCCCTGGAACCCGGGAGCAGAGTCCAGATAATGTCTGTCAGCACGAGCCACTAGCCATCATGGACTTCCGATAGCACAGCGTGTCCTGCTAGTGCTCTGGGAAGCCCTGGCCCAGGGTCCTCCGGGGGTCCCGTCTGTGGCTGTGAAGAGAACCCAGCCCCCTTTGTGGGAAGGATGTGTGAGATTTCAGCAGCTGTGTGGAAAAGCCAAGCAGCCTCCAAAGGGCATACGGTGAAGGTTACCTTCTTTGTGGCTTCCTTGTCATAAACACTTATAGCGATGGTTTCCATCTAGAATGTTCCCAGAAGTCCAGAAGTGTGTTCAGAGGTGGGGCTTCTAGAAGGTGACTGGATCGTGGGTGTGTAACATTCACCGGTGGTCACCCATCAGTGAGTCAGGCAGAGTGGTCTGGCTGGAGGTGATCATAGGTGTGTGATTTGCTTTTGTCTTTTTGAGACAGGGTCTCACTATGCAGGTTGGCCTTGCCTTGAACTCACTTTATAGCCCAGGCTGGTCTCGAACTCCCAACAATCCTCCTGCCTCAGCCTCCCTAGTGCTGGGATTACAGGCGTGAGGCACCACGCCCAGCTCAAGAGTATGCTTTTATCCCCAACTCCTCCCTTCCTTCTCCGCTTCCTGGCGGCCATGGGTTGAGCAGCTCTCTGCCGCCAAGCCCCCTGCCAGGCCATTTCTGCCTGGGAGCCAGCACACTACAGACTGTGAAATGTGATCCAAAATAAACCTCTCCTGATTTCAGTTTCTGGTGCTGGGAATTTTGTCCCCGTGATGAAAGAATGGCTAATACAACCAGATTTGGCAAGGTACAAAGCTTGCCTCTGGATTTTCTGTCAGAATCACAGAGGCCAGAGACAGAGGGCCCACTGGAACCCCAGGTCCTCCCTCACTGGACGGTTATAATCGGGGCACCCTCCGTACAAGGTGGCCCTGCAGAATTCTTCTTGTCTCAAACTTGACATGAACTGCTGCCTTTACTTTTGCTAGGCCTGGTCTTTTTCTTACTGCATATGAAATGGGTTGTTGTTTTTCCAGATTTTGGAGGAAGAGGCTAGAAATAACAAGAAACAATTCCATGAACTGCAAGAACATGCCACAGTCATTTAGGGAGTGTGGTCCCTGAGAGCCCTCAGCGCCTCCCCTCCCTTCTTCCCTTCCTGATGGCAGAGTTTCCTGCTGTTAGTCACTTGCTCAATGTTTTACCCCTTAAGCATTCTCCCTCCCCTGGATCCCTCCTTGGAGAAAGGCCCATCTACTGGCCTCCACTTTACCAGCAGAAAGGACCACCATGGGTATCCCCAAGACTCCTACCTTGGCATGGGACATTCCCTTGAGGCTAAAATTCCGCAATCGGGGAACTTGGAGGGGTCCACTTGTCCTTGAAGAACTAAATACAGGAACTGTCCTGTTGCCCCTGAAAAGCAGTCAGCAGAATACCCAAAGTACCGGTCAGCATAGGTAAGGTTTTGCTCTAGTAACAAGCAGTCCCCAAATATCTGCCTTAAAACAACAAAGATTTATATTTTGCTCATGCTGCATACTCACTTGAGGTTAGCTAAGGAACTCTGCAAAGATTCTACTCACTGGGCCAGAAAACAAGCAGAACATGAGGAGCCTCACACTGTGGACCATAGCTCTGGCCTGGAGGGGAAGCAGAATTTCCACTCAAAACTCATTGGCAGGAGTCGTCACCTGGCTCTGCCCACACAAGGACACTGAGAAGTGCAGTCCCACCATGCCACAGGGAAGGCGATCAGCGTTGGTGACACTGCCTCCAGCCACCTCTGCCCCTGCAGTCTCTGGCCCCAGGACCAGGGAGGCCTGTGTTCCCAGACAGCCCCCGCCAAGGCAGGAGAGGATGATGGGGCCCTCCAGGAGAGGAGGGCAGAGAAACCCTCTTTCACCTTAGAGGAGGCCCAAGACCACGTGAGGATTTTAGCTTTCCTTTCTGTTTGCTTCCTGCGTTTACAATCTTGCTTTTCTACTTCAGTTACACTCGCCACAGCCAATTAGCTTAAGGACTGACGCTAACTTCGCAGATGAAAAAAATTAGCAAGTGTGAATTATATAATTATATCTTGATGAAACCACTCAGGAATCATGGGCAGAACCGAGTTGATTTTCCCCGTTCGGGGGAGTCAATGTTTTCCAGGGCAATCTACACTGAGCAGGCTGCACCCCAGCAGACAGCAAGAACTCCCCAGTTCGTTTCCTCTCAGTTACACTGGGGAGCCAGGCTACACATCTCTAGATCTCTTTTGTTCTGAAACGTTATAAATGTGAATTATTAAGGAAAAGCAATTTTTTACTGCTGCCATTGCCAAGAACAGTCCCATCTTCTCAGCCTGGCTGTCCTGGAGCTGCTCAGAGAAAGTCCCCGGCCCTCTCCCTCAGTGCTCCTGCCCAGGGAGGACCTGGTCCCACCTGAATGTGTCCACCACCTCCAGGTGAAACCCCGGTGCTCCCGTCCCCAGATGCACTCCCTGAGCCCACACCGGTGTTTCTCACAGATGTTTCAAATTAAACTGCCCCAGAATCGATGGCTTCTCTCCCCGCAGCCTGGTCCCTCCAGGTCGTCCTCAGGACGCCAGCTGCTTGCACTCAAGACCACAGCTATTGTGAACACCTCCTTCTTGCTCATCCAGCCCAGTCCTCCCTGCAGTGGTCAGCCCATAGCTGCCCCGCCACCCCACTGTCCACCACCGCCCCACAAATGAACTGGGCCATGAATCTCCTGGGCACCTGCGGCTGTGCTTGCTGGTCTCTAAGCCTCCTCTGTCCCTCCTGGAGACTCACCGGCTGCATCCTTAATTTAAGGCGTTCGAGGACACTCAGACCACTGTCTCCCGTCCCCTGTACACACTTCCTGCCATGTCTCCCGCCACACCTCCCCTCCCCTCTGAAGGATCCAGACTTCTGATTCCTCTGCTGCCTGTCCTGTGACCCCTCCGTCCCCTCCTGTCCTTCTGCCAGGCGTGTTTTCCTTCCACTTCTCTACCCAGCTTGTGCCTGACCTCCCTACCCTCTCCAAAGCCTGCTGAACGGCCACTTCCTCCTGGGGGCTTCCCGGCTGACTCACGTTGCTCAGGCCCCTTCCGCAAGCTCGTCTCATTCTCCTACATCACCGATCTGCTCTTAATTACACAACTGTTACCATGCGTGCTCACGTGCTGCCACGCTGAGCCGCGGGCTGCAGAGGGCAGGGAACAGGCCTGCCGTGCCTGCGCTCTTCCCAGCCTTCCCTCCCCACCCCCATCAGCACAGGCTTCGGCCCATAATGAGCACCAGGGAATATCTGTATATGGAGTAAGTGTACCCAGACTAGCGCCTTGAAGGCTTTCTAAATTCATTCAACTTGTTCCCCTCACCCACCCAAAATGCAAAGTGACACATGCATGCAGCTGTGGATTACAATGCAATTTGTAAATGGTAAACTCAACTCCATCAATAGGGGACTGCTGGAGCAAACTGTGACAGGGCCACATGAAGAGAGCTACTCGGTGTCGAGGAAGCAGGTCCTTGTGAGTCGTCGCATAGTGAATACAAGATGAGGCTTTTGTCTAAAGGAGGCAGGACACCTATGCATGCGCCTGTTTTAGTTTAAAAAAATGAAAGGAAAACAAAATCGAACTTTAAAATAGGTGGAAAAAACAGAAAATAAACAAGAGACAGGAACAGAAGCTAAACGCTCTAAACACACTTGCTTTATAGTTTTGAATTTGAAATCTCATAGCTATGCTATATGATTATAAAGTAAAGTTAAACCAAGATGGAAAAAAAATCCTTGCAAATAGAAACAAACAAACAAACAAACAAAAAAAAAGCCCAGGGACTTAGCTCAGCAGCATAAACACCTGCCTGGCCAAGTGCAAAATCGTGAGTTTGATTCCCAGTACCAAAAAAAAAGAAAAGAAAAGGAACAAAAAAATGAACCTAACTATGTGTCAGGTTGGTAATTACCTGCATAGAGAAAAATTATTTTACGTAACTCTAAACCACAGAAGCGGAGAAGTTCACCTCTCATGGAGTATTTCATCAGGATAAAAAGAATACAACATTTTAAAAAGTACCCGAGTCTTACTTTTTATTCAAAATAAGTGTTGTTATAAAACTTTATTTTTATTTTATTAAAAATAAAAAAACTACAGACACATCAATGTTATTAGAAATCAAGAACTTCTGGAATGAACATAAAATCAACATAAAATTGTTTTAAGTAATCATATTTGACTTAGAAACAGAAGAGTATGAATTAATAAGGCATTATTCTCCTTCAAATAAAAAGGAGTGTGTACTTTCTAGCCCAGTGAAACACATTTTCTTTGATTTCCAAAACAAACAAACAAACAAAAAAAAAAACACCTAGAGCTAGGGGTGTTGGCATACACTGTAATCCCAGCCCTCAGGAGGCTGAGGCAGGAGGACTGCCACAAGTTCAAGGCCAGCCTGGGCTATGTAGTGAGTCTGAAAGGATTCTCTCTCACCAAGCATGGGACAGCTAAAGCATCAGAAAGAAAAAACCTGCAATGAGTTCAAAAACATCAAAGAAGTTAGAATCCCTAAGTGCGTGGTAACAGAAAGACCACACACCAAATCATTATTCCCAAAACTAATTGAAAGGAAAAAGCACCGACCTGGGCTCTTACACAAACTGTCTTTGGGAAACTGATCAGGTCAAAAGCTGTTTCTAAGGAAAACTCTAGGTAACAAATGAGGAACAAAATCGCCATCTCCCAAGCCCAGTAAACAGTGACAACGACGGTGACCCCACGAGCAGCTGGCAAACTCATTAGGCAGAAGTGGAAGAGTGACTTTCCACGGGGAGCCTGCACACCCACGCAGGACAGGAGCCCGCCGCCCCATGCCCTGGAGATGCAGCAGCTAACAGGGACATTTCCTCCAGAACAAACCTAGGCTGATCCAACCCCCTAACCGATCACATTTCACACAGAGCAAGACAGAAGAACCAGACCCCGGCAGGTGGGACTCGGATCCACAGCGGGGAAATTCCACGGAGCACCCTCCAGTTTCTTAAATAATAAACAAGAGGAGCGAGGAGAGAGAACTGTGTGTGTGTGTGTGTGTGCGTGCGTGCACCACATAAGCTTTGCAGTCTTTTACTTCTTGTTTTATTCAAATTGGAAAATAATCAGGGAAATTCGAGCACTGGCTAAATATTAGGTGATATTATGGGATCTTCTCATATTCCTAGTGTGATAATGCTAAACTGCTGTTAATACCTTTCTCTTAGAGATGTGTAGTTCAGCATTAATGGACGCAAAGGTATAACATCTGAATTTTCTTTTGCATTTTTCAGGGAGGAGGATTAAGGCAAAGACAGAGTGAGCTACAGGTGAAACAAGAAAATAAATGTGGCCAAGTGTTTAAGTTGTTTCCCTAAATACCTACTTTCCACAGATACGAATAAATTACTGATTTTACAGCAGTTTTGTGACAATAGCGAGCTTTAAATTTAAGGTTAAAGAATCCCCTAAATCTTGTTCTTGCACCTCTTATCTCCAGGGCAATGGTCAGGCAAAACCAACAGCCCCTCTCCCCACTCCTAGGGCTCTTCTGGGAAAGCAGCTCATCTGAGCAGCCCTCTGCCCCCACCCCACCCAGGCCAGGAGCCACCCCACGGCTTGCAGGGATCTTCACCTCCAGGCACATCTCAAGAGCACACGGCAGCGTCTTCTGCTCCTTTTCCTGACCTTTTCTCGTGGTCTTTTCTTTCCTGCCACTGCTCCGTGCTCTTTCTTCTTTTTTGCTCCTTTTCTTAGCCTTTGATTGGAGATTCAACTCCAGTCCTCACATTAGAAAGGTGCAGATACCTCTCCCTGCTCCTTCCTGCAAAGCCACCTCTCTCCTCTCCTCTGAGAATTCGCAGCCTAGTCTTTCCCTGCAGGACTGCTGCCTTGGGAGGATGGTTGAGATGGTCTTTCACAGACCTCAGCTAACCTGAGATCACTACAACCACAGAGATCACAGACAACAGGAAGGTCAGATGCCCCGTCTGTCCAGTGCCACCAGGACTATGGGTGCTGAAAGGCAGTAGCACATTCATGATGAAGACACTACTGGCCAGGCTGCCCTGTCTGTGGTGGCCTGTCACGTGAGAGACACAGGATGGTACGACAGGGCCAGCCTGAGCGTGGGATCACAGAGGTGTTGGTTGGAAGCCAAGCCAGTCTCCTGGCTCCTACAACTTAATTCATTCCACGATTCTGAGAAAGACAGCCACGTTCATGTGTGTGCAGGACAGATGAGTGTGGTCCTGTTAGTCACCAGATGCACAGTTCGCAAACAAGAACAAAATTTTGCCAAATGCTTCTGTTTGCGAACCAAATTGTTCACTGAACCAATGTACCACTGTACTTCCTGAGCCACCAGTTCTCTGTGCCCTGAGCTTGGGGACCCTCGGCACAGGCTTGCTGTGGAGCGTCACATACAAGCTCCGGACCCATCTGTGGACCCCCAGTGGGTTCCTTGTGAATTCCAAATGGGTTACTTTGGCAGCTGAAGTGAATTTTCTGGAACATCATGTCCATGCTCACAGCAAACAGCTTGTTCATCTTCTCATCTTGTTCCAGAAGCTTCTCTTTATCTCTCCGAGTTTCCGGCCTAGCCCTCCAGGCTCCTTCCAAGTTTAGGGCCTTGCTTTGAGTCAGCGGCCTGGTCACTGCTCTCTATTAGGCCCGGGAGAGGGGGAGGTCTGGCAGGGCCACCGCGTCGTCCTTGCTGGCACAGAGGAGGAAGGACAGTTCTCCGCTCATCTGGAAATGATGAACTACTTCCTGCCATGGCCCAGCAACTTACTATTAATGATCTGGGGCTGGTATCCCCTGTCTGCTCTCGGGCTTGTTCATCTTTCCTGTGTGGACACGTTACATGCAGTGTAGGATCCTGCTCGGTCCAGGGCTTCTGTCCCTATCTTAAAAGCCTGAAGGCTTGGAGCAGGCCCCAAGAGTATAGGTTGCCAAGGGGACTCCATGGGACCCCCAGAAGTATCTGGGGCAGAGGAAAGTGGAGATAACCTAAGCTGAGGGTCAACCATGGACCAGAAAAGAAATGCACAAGTTCCTTAACATTTTCTTGTCCCCGAAGTCCTCAGGGAAGTCCCAGGAAGAAGATGAGGTGGGCAGGACTGTGACATTTGGAGAAGAAGAAACTAATGTTCAGAGAGAATAAAAAGTGATGCTGGGTCACATAGCCAGTAAATGTTTCAGCTGAGATTTCAACACAATGGGCTTGACTCCAACCACTATTTGTAACCACTGTATGACACACTCCTAAACAAAGCCAGCATATGTAGAAGCTAAACAATCTAATTGGAGTTATGTATATATATGAGCAATTATGGGTGTAATATATACAAAATTCATGATTTCACAGGAGGCCATGATCAGGGGAGAACACAAAGAAGGTTTTTTGAACTATATGCTAGGTTTGTGAATGTTCATTTTGTGTTACTTTTTTTTTTATCCAATGTACGTGAGAAAAGCTAATATCTTCTTTGAAACCTGAAGAGATACATACACAGAACAATTGTATTCATCAAAAATAAGATGCATGTAAGCCCGCTTGTTGGGAATCCTGTGCCAAATATGATACTAGGTGCTGTTACATATAAAAGGGAATAGAAAAAGGTTCCTGCCTGCTCAGTACAGTAAGGACCCTTCTCAAAGCCATGTAAGGAGTATCTATCATCTCTCTGCAGAGAGCATCTGGCCTCTGTCCTATTTTAGAATTGTTCTCTATTCTAGAGGAAGGATCCTCAGAAAAAGATGTGACTTGTCCTCTCCCAGGGCTGCACTGTGCAGGCCCGAGGTCTGAGGCCCGCTATTAGGATAGTCCACCCTGTCATCCTGGCACGAGGTGGGGAGGAGCTGTGTCCCTGTTTCCTGAATCCTTTGCAGAGGAGCAGAAAAGCAAGCCTCAGGATGACCACTTCCAAAGGTAGATGGGACAGTGGGATCACAGGCCTTCGGGCAGTTCACTGACATGTTCAGATCTACAGGTGCCCTCCTGGCTACCTGTTGGAAGTACAGGACTTTGAGGCAGGCACAGCCCACCCAGAAGAGCCCTGAAACTCTCCAGACAGGTGCCAACAGCTGTGGCATCAGAGTATGGCTGCCTTTCCATATCCCCATCTTCAGTGCCTGTGGCATTCAGCAACCACTGGCCTGGGCATGCTCCTAACTCACCTTTCCACATCTGGGTACCTAGGTTCCTGCCATGGCAGAAGTTGCATGCGGCCCCGGAAGCTGCCGGCAGGCCCCCGGAAGTTGTATGCTGCCAGGAAGTGAGGTCGAGAAGAGGTGGGCGGGCTCTCCACCCTCAGTGCTGGCTCACTCCTGCCCCCCTGGCTCTAGGGCAGGTGAGGGTATGGGGTGAGGTAGGACATCCAGATTCCTCTAGGCAGTTTCCCTGCAGCCTCCTGGGGCCTACCAACATGGAACCTAATCCAGTGCCCTTTTCATGGAGTAAATCCTCACAGAACAGTGCTCACCTGTCCTGGAGTCAGTTACTTTTTTCTTCTTCTGGGCGGTCTTTGCTGTGGCACACAACGCAGTGCTTCCTGGGTTTTTCCATCATGTAATCTGCCAAAGGCAGAAGCAGCTGCAGATAGTGAATCTTAATCTTCCTGGAATCCAGGCCATCCACAGAGTTTCTGAAAGGCACCTGAGGCCCACACTCAAGAGTATCACTGCCAGAAGAGCATCTTGGCGTCTTATTTTTGTCAGATAATTCTGGTTTACTTTTTAATAACTCAAACTGGAGAGACAGACAGACTTGGGTAATCATTTTACAGCAGCCGTGCTGCCAAGCCAGTGGGGTGTGACGGCTTCCCAGAATCATATCTACCCAAAATTAATCTGCCCCAAATTAAGGGAAGTTTAGATGTCAGCAAGCTGGAGCCGTTCACAGAACAAGTAATGCTCTGACCTTTGGCAAAGAAAACTAGAAGTTGGTCCTTTTCCATTTTTTTTCTCTTAGTTTTACAAGGGCCACAGTCCATTCTACGGATCTCAAACTAATCCTCACTTATCGTGAAACAGAGCAAGCATCGGCCACATGGTGGATGGCCACCATAGCTGTCCACTTACTGCAGGGCTGGACATTGTGTCAGATACTGGAGGCCATCAGAGATGAGTAAGAGCAACATGCTCCTTCTGAGACCTGGCAGCTCAGTGAGAAATGGAGCGAAAGATAAGATGGACCGTAATGTAGATGACAAATTACGGACATCTATAGAAAATGACTTCCAAGACTTGGAAAAGCTCTTGGAGGAAATGGAATTCAAGCTGAGCTATTCAGCAGAGACAGCGAGTTTGGGGAAATCACTTGCATAGAAATGTGCAAGAAATTTTTAAAAGGATAACCCAGTGTTGTAAAAGTGTGGGATGTTGAAATATTGGAATGATTACTCTTGTACATTTTTCTTAAATGTTCCAAACTATGATACATTTACAAATGTCATTATGGCACACAGTAATAGTTGCTTTTTAAAGTGCTGGGGATTGGAGCCAAGATTTTAACACAAGCTTAGGCAAACATGCTATCACTGAGCTACATCCCTAACTCCAAACCCACAACTAGCATCATTTAGATTGGTCTGTTTGCAGAAGATCCAACAGTGCTAGGTGTTATTTGTCTACAGCAAGGTGAAGGGTGTAGTTCATGGCCAGAATAGAGGCCCCAAAGGGTCACAGATATGCAGGTCCATCTATTGTCCTGGTCACCATTTTTAGTGCATGGTTACATAATAGCTGCTGCCCTGCCATGGACTGTGTCCATATCTCAAGATGGAAAAGAGTAAGGAGGTGGGGGCAAAGACAGGCTAAACACACTACCTGCAATGTCTGATGATCAAAAACCATTTTTTGCTTTAAGGCCCACCTATTTACTCGTGTTTCTATCTAAACAGCCAGAGTACATGTTGACCTGAGAGTTCTGTAGATAAAGAAATAGAGGAGGACACCGTGAGAGCAGCTGTCTGTTAGCAATTAGTCCTTCTGCCAGAGCACCATTTATTGACTTTGATGGCTTGTGGTAGACGCCTTAATTGCCTAGTACTGGTTACTACAGTTCTGGATTTCTTCTGCTGCTACACACTGGAAGGCTGCTTCCCTCCCGCTAAAACCCAAGCAGATGCAGCGCCTGCCTGCAGCTATGGAGGGACAGCAGAGGGCACATGTGTGGCTCCCAGATGACAGGTTTAGCAGCAGGTCTGACCTGACCCGCAGCCCTGCCCTCCATGCCGCAGCGCCTAGGAGGTTCGGGGTCCAGATGGAGCTGAGACGTGGAGTGACAGCTCCGTACTGGATACAGCACTTGAGCAATAAATAAATCTTTGTTCCATTAAGCCATTAGGATACTCTGGTTTCTCTTCAGATTGTATAAATCTTTCACCCTTCACTCTTAAGCCATTAGGATTTGGGATTTGTCTGCTGTTATCCTAAACCTAGTCTAACCTGACAAAGTGATAGGCAATTAATGTTACATTCGTCTGTTTGTTTCATATGTAAGTGGGGATATAGTAAAATGTATACATTTCATAACCATAAGAGTTAAAAACATAAACGATCTACCTTTTTAACAGTGCACTTCTAGGATGATGGTTCAGATGTAGAGATAGTCTACAAGTATGTGAGGAAGCACAGGTAAATGTCCTGGAGTTAAAGGGGCTCTTTGAAGGGGACCTGAAAGGAAATGAGCCCCGTGAAGGAAGGTCCTTGTCAACTGGAGACCACTATGCAAGACAGAGTGGCTGGCTTCCTTGACTCTTATCAGCCCTAGCAAAATAATGGTTTTCTTCTTCCTGATTTTTGAACTATTTCAGACTTACAAAATGTTGTAACAATGGTACAAAGAATTCCCTTCAACTTCACTCCAACCACCCTTACCTGCTTTTGCTCCTGGTGATCTGGAAGATTCTTTTGCTCCTGTGCAAATTCATCCTTCTTTACTTACGTGCAGAGTGTTGGAGCTCTTTCCTCTACGACATCTTCATCCACATCCTTTCTCCTGCTGAACTCATGAGCACCTGCGGCTTCAGTCACACACAGGTGACAGGTGATTTGTCCAGCACATGCCTGGAGCCCAACCATGCTTCTCATTCCATTCCATTCCTGGCAATTCCACTCCAATGTGTCTGGCAATATGCAGCTGTTAGACTTCACATCAGCTCCTAAATATCTCAGGTTTCCTCACACCAAGGTCCCAAACAGAACTTACAGTCTTCCCCACAGGTGGTCTTCCTGTCTCCTGGTGTTTTTTCCTTCACTAACGTTACTCTGTCCATCTAGGAGCCATCAGTGATCTGGATCTTGTCCTGTTTACCACCTCTGCCCCCCACCTTCAACATCCCTGACACGTGTCCCTTTACTAGGGAACCCTGTCCTGACACACCTAGGCCTGCCCCTCTGCCTCACCACGTTGATCAGGTGTAATTTCATAAATTACCTATTGTGACACCATTTCCATCTCCCTGACTGGACCATAAGCTCACTGAGGGGAGCACTGCTCTTTGATCCTGGGGGTCACTGCCTCCTGCCTCCTCACGTCGTCCCAGTCCATGCTCAGCAGGATCTGTCAAATGCACAAGCAGCTTCCAAGCCATGACCTGCTCCTGAAGCCCAGATCCCCCCCCCACCCCCGTCTCTGGTGGATCCCTGGAGGAAAGGAGGATCAACTGGCTTCTTCTCACTGAGTCATTGTTAGGTATCCTCAAAAGGTGTCTTCACAAGTTCAAGCCAGAACTTCTACATTACCAATATTCTGGAAACTGAGGCCCTCTGATTCGGTCAAAGCGAACTTATCCTTGCCCAGGCTCATGGTGGGCATAGCAGAACCAGACACACTTGGAGAATGAGGACTCAGAGGAGTGCACAGCAGATGGATTTGCTCTGGCTTGGGCTGGAAGGAAAAATAGGTGCTTTCCCCTGGGAGTCTCTCAGGACCAAACATAGCTGAGACTTAACACTGCCTGGAGCCTGATAGCCAATTTCATGGAGACCGTGAGTAGAGAGGTGACCCCTAGGGCCTGGCCATTGTCCCACCAAATCTGTCTTGGGCTCAGACCCTGCCCTCTCTGCCTGTGGTTCTTAGTTCAGCTCCCAAGGTGCTTCCTCCAGGGCTCTTGGAGCCAGTTCAGCAGGGACAGACCTTGGGCTCCATGAGGACTGACACACACCTACTGTTCCCCTTGCTGACTGGACCCACGAGTCACGGGCTCCTAAGGGATCAGTGTCCTCTGAAATGGAGCTGGGTACTCTGCTGACCTCCCACCTAGCACAACAGCACCTGAGGGTCCGCAGGAAGTGGGGCTCTCACTACCTAGCCCTTCCGTTCCTTCACAGGTAATATCGTGGAAAGGGAGGTGAAGCTTTCTCTGGAACTCTCGCCAGCTGGCATTTTCTTTGGAAATGTAAAACACATTTTTAATCATGCAGAGGTTGTGCTCGGTAGTTTGCTATTTTATACACAGATTTTTGCAGATCAAATGCCTTAGAAGAGCCAAGCAGACCCCGGCAGGAAAAGGCCCAATGGTTGGCAGAAATGACAGCCCCAGATGACAATGGGAGGAGGCTGGCAGCAATGCCCAGGCCTCTGAGGCCTCCATAGACTCAGGAGGGGTTAACCATCCATCATGATCAGCTAAACTTCTGGGAATTTACGATTCCATCAAAGGTTGCTCGACTCCGTGGAACTTCAGACAACATGTGCTGTGTCCAGATGTGTCCTTTCGGCCACACTGTTGGAGGGAGCAGACCACACTGTCCTTAGCGTCCTGTCCATGCTGCAGGGGTGGTCAGCACCAGGGGCAGGGCCCTGACCTGCCCCACAGATGCCAGCATTCCCAGGTGCTCCGGGAGGGCTCAGTGGTGACATTGTGGAGGAGCAACCAGTCAGTGTGGCTCCTGCAAGGGCTGATGTGACATATGTGGGGACTCAGTTGACTGGCAGAGATAATCATTGGTTCCCTCCTGCACATAGAGTACAGTAATCTAATGCCAGGGGAGTACAGGGCATCAAACTGACTTCCTGCAAATGTCCAGGGAAGTGACCTCTGCTGCCCTGCACTGCCACCTGGCTCCCTGCTTGAGGACTTGACTAACTGGTGTCTGGCAGGTTTGGGAAAGAGCTGCAGGACTGGTGACACCAGTGACACTGTGTCTGGCCCACGCAGCCCCACCTCAGCACAGCACTGAGAGCCCCCCACTAGGCAGGTTGCCAGAGGATGTCTGCTTTATTTCTGTAATCCCCTTTGAAGGTTCTGGCTCCAGTCAGTCTTGGGGCCAATCAGAGCGTCCTCCTTTCTCATGCCTCAAGTCCCCCAAGGGGCTCCCCTCCTCTGAGCCCTCCCAAGTCCCAGCTACACCTGGCAACCAGTTAGAGCTGCACAGGCACAGCTGTGCCAGCCTTGTGATTCTCGGGTGGCTCCAAAAGGGTCCCCATGGCCTCACTGTTCCCAGCTATAGCGCTGGGAGGCAACACACAGACTCTGAGTGGGTGGCCTGGTTCAGTCCGCTGCCCCTGGATAACCTGCCGTGTCCATGGCGGAGCAGGAACTGTCAGGGGACCTATCAGTGCGGGTTCAAATGTGCAGCACAAATGTGGACGTCCCCGACAGTGGAGGGGCATTTGAGACCCTCTGTTTCATCTGCCATAGTTCTGTGAACCAAACACTACTCAGAAAACCAGGGAGTTAGCTCAGCGGCACAACACCTGCCTGGCAAGCGTGAAGTCCTGAGTTTGATTCCTGGTACCAAAAAAAAGAACTGAGTCTGTTAATCAAAAAATAACCCTACAACAGGAGGGGAGTCAGGTGGCAGGCATGAAGCAAGACGAGCTGGGAACTCCGGGAAAGTGGACGGGGATTTCTGGGGGAGGAATTATTCCATGTCTACAATCACGGGTTTTACATCTTATAAAAATTCAGTCATGTGACCTCTTGATGTCATTCACACACATTGTAAGTATTTGAAAAATACTGAAAAGTAGCTGAAAATGGAGTCCCCAAAACAAAGCTATTATCAACATTTTGGTGCAGGTGTTTTTATAAATAGCAAGACTGGGATTATTCTGAATAAGCCATTTCATACCCCACCGTTTTTTCAAGCTTGGCATTGTGCAATGAACATCTTTTCATGTCTTTTTTTTTTTTTTTTTTTTTTTGTACCAGAGATCGAACTCAGGACCTCGGGCTTGCCAGGCAGGCACTTATGCCACTGAGCTATATCCCCGGGCCCCCATGTCTTTTTTTTTTTTTTAACAGTAATAGGTATCACAGTATATTTCATTGTCTTTATAATAGTTGTTCTTTCAATCACGTATATCAAAATAAAATGAAATACAGAACATTATAGAACTTATCAAAACAGAATATTGAATAGAGCAGTACCATTAATCAGAATAAAGCAGAACAGTAATAAAAATACTTGCCTTCAAAGAAATGGTAGAAGAAAATCTCCCTTATTTGCTATGGTCAACCTCCCAGGAGATGCTCAGATTTCTGGTTCCCATTTGCTAACGGGGAGACAGAGGATGGGGTTAGGGGAAGTGGGATGTTTGACTCTAGGCCATGCACCAGTAGGTTCACTATTGCTTAGCAGGGAGGCAGGCTGGTTGCTTGGTTTCCCAGCACCCTAAGTTCCAACATGGTGTGGATCTCAGGAGACACTGGTGGTTCTCCCCCTGGAGGGGCCATAGTCTGTCACACCACAGCCACTTACCAGAGAGGTGAGCTGCTTGCTCGGTGTCCCAGGGTCCTAAGTTCCAACATGGCGCAGATCTCAGGAGACACTGGTGGTTCTCCCCTGGAAGGGCCACAGTCTCATCTTTTCATGTCTTAAGCTGGCCCAGCAGCCAGGGAAGGCCTCACACCTCCCTATGCATGTAGCGCCATGCTGTTTAGCAGAGAAGAGGCTCTGATGTCTTCAGAATGTACAATTGCAGTGGATTCGCTGTTCAGGAAACCAGACAGTTGGGATTTGAGCTTTTCGAGCCTGGCATGTGCAGGGCTGCATTCCTCCCCCCGCAGTTGTGAGCCAGTGTGTAGTCCAGGAGTTCTAAGGATCAAGTTAGTTCCTGCGCCCCAAAGCACTCTTACCTTTCCTCCTGCTCAGGAAGGCTCAGCAGAGGGCCAGCAAGTGTGTGTGACACTGCGCGGTGACTCCTTTGCACACCGTAGCAAACTCTGGAATCAGCCCCACTCCCAACTTGGCCTCACCGGCCCTGGCTCCAGGCTGCCCTTGGCTGGACCCAGTGATGGGCCTCATCAGAATCCTGGTGTGGAGAATCACAGTGAGAGGTGACTACAGGGGGACCGAACAGCCAAGTTGATAGAACGCACCCTGGCCAGAGGGCGTTATGTCAGACCCCACAGCCGATGGGGCCTCTGGATTCAATCTGGAAGGAGTGGACTCTCCTGGGAGAGCTGGCTCTCCTTGAGGCCATGCAGTCACAAGCGCCAGCCCACCATGACCCCTGCCAAGATCTTTGCTTCCCCAAAGTGGAGAGGAAAGAGGGCTTAAAACTTTACATGTCAAAAAATGTATTTCTAAACTCCAGCTCTCCTGCCAACTTACCAGAGTGTTTATCTTAGAGAGTTTATCTCATCAGACCATGCTGGGAGTAAAATCCATGCTCGGAGAACCAGTTCTATCACGATGCTTATTGACCCGCCGCACAACTGGGTCAAGAGCAGCTTCCAGTCAGACCCATCTGACATGAGCAGTCTCACTCCTCTGAGCTCCTGGACATCGCTGGGGCCTGGGAAGGCAGGTGTAGCTCTACAGAGGTGCTCCTTGGTGAGTGGACCCCATCACAGAATCTTGGGGACATTCCAAGTATCTAGGGCTTAGCTAAGGATGCTCAACCAAGCTCTGTCTTCAGGGTAGAGAGGCTGAAAACAGAGAGCTTCCAAGAATGCCCAGACACCACAATAGGAAGTGCCTTTACCACAAGAGACAACCCTTTGTGGTCCATGGATAGAAGCCAGGCCAAGAGGCACAGACACCTGCAGCGCACACAGTGATCACTGTGGTCAGCACACAACAATGGCGCTGAGGTGCTGGGCACCACAAGCGGCTGCCTTCTGCACCCTGAAGAAAAGGACCTCTGATCTGCTCAGCAAGGAGGCCTCCAGGAGCTCCTTGAGCTCTTCCGTGGGGCTACATAGGCCACTAGGGAGCCCCAGACTGCTGCCTGCACAGCAGGAAACCAGTGGCATCATTAGCTGCTTTCTGCTGCTAAGACTGAAGAGCACAGATGGAGCAATTCTAATTCTGACTGTCGAAACTGTGACTCTGAAGGCTGGGAAGGCCACATCATGGTGCCAGCTCTGGTGAGGTCCTCAGCACTGCAGGGAAATATGGCGGCGAGATGGAGCGGGCACGAGGCAGAGGCAGAGCCACTCCCCCAGTAACCCTCCATGCCACTGAGCTGGAGACAGATTAACCAAGAGAACTCTTGATCAGGCAGCTCCCACCAGCATGTGTATGACCCAGGGATCAAGTGTCCAGGCCCTGATTTGGGGAGACACCCGAGCCACAGCACACAGAGCTTAACAAGTGATACACTGAGGGAAAACAGCATGATGTGCAGACCTCATGCTGTGTGGAGGCGCTTCCTGGGGACCATCTGGGGACTGTCCAGGGACCCACATCAAGCAGGCTGGGGAGGCAGGGGACATCACTGCAATCCTACGCCAGGGGCTGCACATGGCGGAGACTTTAGAATACAGAATGCTCATCTCTTCAGGAGATGCTGAGGAGGTGACCTCAGAAAGCACTATGGTATCAACAGATTGCTCTGCAGAGAGGACTCAGACAGGCTGGATGAAATGACAGGAGAAGACGAGGAGCGCAAGGCACCACTGTTGTCCACTTGACCATGGGGAAAACCCGCCATATCCCATGTCAAAGGATATGACTCAGAAAAAGACAAAGTGAGACACAGATAAAGCCAAGGAGTTGATGGGAAACCGATGAAAGTCAAGAAAATAGAATTTTAAAAATTATGACATAGGATTAAACCTTGAAGATTATTAATAAGTAAAATAAATAAAGCTAAAGGAGTTGGGATAAAGTTATTAATGACAACAAACTGAATAATGAAAAATATTTATAAATATACACAAATTACACAGACTGTAATAATAAGAAAATACCTGTGAGCCGGTCGTGGTAGTGCACGCCTGTAATCCCAGCACTTAGGAGGCTGAGGCAGGAGGATCGTTGCAAGTTAGAGACCAGCCTGGGTTACAAAGTGATCTCAAGGCCAGCCTGAACTGCAGAGTGAGACCCTGTCTCAAAAAAAAAAAAAAAAAAAATACCTCTGAGGATGATGTTTTAGAAAAACAAGCCACGACACGTAATATGTTCCTGGCATAGTATGTGACAAAACGAAAGAGGGTTCAGTCCCAGCTTAAAATGCCTGTATACATAAACACGCATGAACACACACATTACACACTCATGGAAGAGCACGTGCATGAGGATGCTCAGGTGTGCACACGAGACTGGAAGGGAAAATATCCAAACGTGGACATTGGTCAGCTCTGGGTGTCTGTGAGTGACTTTAAAAGGCTTGTGCTTTTTCCAGCTTCCTGCAAGGACTCAGTATTCTAGTTCCCAGAGGAAAAATATTTTCCAAAAGATAAAAACGTCCGTGGTGTAATGGAGAGGTCGCGCGCTGGCCTAGCATGTGCAAGGCCCTGCCTGAGTTCACCTGCAGCACTGGAAAACAAGAGAGAGATGTCTGTGGGGAAAGCAGGCTTTGCGTGTGGTTCTAAAGCTGCTCTGTTACCTGATTAGATGTCAGAGAAGCAGCGTTACGTCTCAATGATGTCCTTCCTCTTCCTCAAGGATACAATGTCCAGTCATTCTCATTCACTGGACACTGACCACACGACAGTTCACACCGCATTCGTGCCCAGACACAGGGGATTCACAAAGGCAGTGCAGCCTCGTTCTCTTAGGGGTTGGGCTGTGGCGGGGAGAAACACACAGTAAACAGAGTCCTGCATGGGTGCCGGGGAGGAGAGGAACAGCAGAAGGCACAGCTGGTTCTGCGCAGCTGCAGTGGACTAGATCAACACAGGAGGGGCAAAGACCCGAAGGGGTGAAGGCGCCATCCTGTGGGCACCTGAGGGAAAGCACCGGGAACCGCCCCCAGCTCCTGGGACAGTAGGGTCCGGAGCTCCGGGACCTGGCCGGGTGGCGCCTTCCGGGCACCATCAGGTCCAGGGGCTCCTGGCACGGTGGTGACCAAGCTCCAGCGGGCAGAGCCACAGCAGGGTCTGGTGAAATGGGTGAAGGTCGGCGTGCAAAACCCAGGAGCCAAGAAAGAAGAGCGGCTGAGCCGCAGGGAGGACCGGTACCCAGCTGGAGAAGCAAGAGGGGCAGCGGGACCTGCGGGCAGGGACTGGCACGTGCAGTGTGTCCAGAGCTGCTGCTCCTCCGAAGGCTCCTCACAAAGCTCTGCTGACCTGGGCTGCTCAGGTGGTCCTGATGACTGGAGCCGAGGATCATTCGCTGTCATTCGAAGCAAAGAGGCAAAGCCAAGGTGGGCCATGGGCATCTCAGTAGCCAGAGCTCAGCCCAGCGCAGACTCCAGGAGCAGGCAGGTCGCATCTCCAGGCCAGGGGCGTGGTTGGGCTGAGATTTAGCCAGGTGACGCTGGCCTCGCTGAATCCCAGGCAGCAGTCTTCCCAACAGTCCTCTGTGAATGGCTCCTAAGAGTGACTGCACAAGGGAGCTGGCCTGAAGCGGCAGCCACAGATCTTACTGAGAGCTTTAGGAACACGCAGGTGGGCACCGGCCAGGTGGGGAAGCGGACAGCAGAAGCCTGCTGAGCCCGGCACTCACACTGGTCTCAAGGTCAACACCTCCCTTTCTGGACCATCCTCACCCAAAGACCCGAGTCACCACTTCTCCACTGTGGCCACATCTACCCACCAGACCCTGCAAGGTGGAGCCTCCAAACGAGTTCAGGGCATATGCTGACCAGTGGCTTCCTCTCAGCAGGAGGCCTCACCCAATCAGACTCCACAGAGGAAACCATCTCCTGCCCCGGGGGAGCAGAGGCCCTTGCCAGCAGTAGCGGCTCTGCAGACCAGAACCAGCTGGACCTCACAGGTCCATTCTGCGCAATCTGAACCGAATGTGGCTCTCGAGAGAGACTAGGAAGAGGTGGGGACCAAAGCCCCAGGAAATCATTGTCACCATTTTAAGTTTGAGTCCTAAACAGGCCATTATTGGTGGAGAACTTGTTGGGTCTGAGTCCTGAGAGTTCTTTGGATTTGAGGTTGAGCCACGCCTGAAGTCTGCAATGAGACAGCTGTTCTGCCGAATCCTCCCAGGGCAAACCTTCAGTTCCCTTTTATTCCTCATTTCAAGAACTCTCCTAGGGAAAGCCCTGCTTCTGTCCGTGCAGTTAGCTAGTTACCTGTTCTTGCTATTTTATAGGCACTGACATTGCCTGGGCAGGGGAGACGAAAGAGAGGAAAAAGGGGGGGTAAACTGCTAAGGGGGCTCAGAAGCCTGGCCCCAGCCCCACAGGCCCAGCCTGTCAGCCCCCACTCACACTCAGAAATCCTGGTGAACCTGGCCCCTGGCACTTCCTGAGGAGTGAAAGTGGCAGGGCGGAGATTAAACCCAGGTTTACAGGGCAGTCACCAAAGCACCAGCAAGAGGGCTTGACCCGGCCACCACATGCTAGGCCTCACCTGGCTTCCCAAGGTCCAGGACCAGCTTCACAGCTGCCTGGCCCTCGCCTCTTCCGAGAAATTCCTACCTTAATTATTCCCGTGGAGCAGGAGACCAATGTGTGAGGCTGTTAAGCAAGAAGCACATCAGGTGAGCTAAGTGGCCAGAGGCCAGGGGACTCAGGAGAGGCAGAGTCCACACCCTAAACCCAGGTGGGCACCTCTGGGCCGTAGCCCTCCATGGAACCCTTCCACACTGTGCTCCTCTTAGCAGGGTCCCCCAGAGCCACACTGGCAAACGCCCTCTGCAGAGGACCTCTGTGCACAGCCCTGAGCCAGGTACCCTCCAAAGGAGAGCTCTTTCCCAGAGGCGAGCTTGCCTGGCTTAGTGCATTTGCAGGCCCTTTTCGTTTCTTACGACCTGGTACTGTGATTGATTTATTTGCATGTGAAACCATTAGCTTGTGAATTTAAGACAGACTTTCTTGAGACTGTGGAGAAAGCAGGATTCTTGAGTGCGTGGCCTTTGGGGTCAGACTGCCCTGCCCAGATGGAACCACTATTTTCTCATATAAGAAACCTCTTTTAAGCTATGTGCCTTGATTTTCTCCTCTGTAAAATGGGTCATCATGCAGATGCAAGCGGTCCATGTATATAAGTCACTAGGGTGGTAAACAAACCTGAGACTCCCTTCAGACCAAGCAGCAGGGAAGCTGACCCCTCAGCATCACATCTTCACACAGTGGGAAACGAGATCCTGACACAGCACCACTGTGATCCGAGTCTCACCATCACTGTCCTCCTCCAATTGCCCTCCCAGCCCCAGGTCCATTTGGCCTGGCACACAGCAGGTACCCCACTGACATCTGTCTGTAAAACAATTAGTAACAATGTTGCCAGGCTGGTGGCTCAAACCTGGAATCCCAGCAGTGGGGGCACCGAGGCAGGAGGATCGCTGCAAGTTCAAAGCCAGCCTCAGCTACATAGTGAGCTGGAGGTCAGCCCTGAACTGCACAGTGAGACCTTATCGCAAAATAAAATAAAACAGTAGAACTATTACCTGTCCTATTTCGGGGCAGCCCCAGCCAGCTGAGCCTTGTCTAAAAGCACCAAGATCTCTGCTTCCTCAACAGAGAATACACAGTAAATTCCAGGAGTTGAATTTGAGTTCTTAAGTTAATTTACCCAAAAGAAAAGCATAAGCTTCCAGGCCAACAGCCAGGCTCACTGATTGCTAATACGCAGTCTGCAGACTCTGGGGTCTTTTTGCAGTTCAGGCGAAGCTACCTGGCTGGGATGGCTTAGGAAGCTGTTTGAAACCCCAGGTCACAGATGCAGGCAGAGAAGCTGAGAGGGAATCGGTGTCTCCTTCTCTCTCTCCTTACAGTCCCTGATTTACAGAAACCTAAAGAGCAACCTTCACTGAAAACTGCCAGCACAGAAGTTTTCCCACAGGCTCTGAGGGGTGTGTGCGTGTGTGTTTATGTATCTGGCCTGGTGAACCAGTAAAGGGAAAGGTAGCAGTTTCAAGGAAATTGTAAAGGGAAATAAGATGTTTATTTGATAAGTTTTAGTTTAAAAAAAAATGTCAGGCTTTTCCAATCTACAAGAGCAGCTATCAAGAAGTGGGAGAGCTTTGTAAAAGTCAGGAAAGGCCAGAATCCTAGATAACTAAAGTACCCAACATTTGTGTACTGTATCCCATTCACAAAGCCCTTTCATGTTATTTACATTTTAAAAGATTAAAGATAGATTTTTATAAAGACTGTAACAATCTCACACGAGCGCTAGCAGAAATATATCCAAGTTTTTACTGCGGTCTTTTTTGTTATTGTGAAAAATCTGAGATAACAAATGCAATGAATAGGTAAATTGGCAAATTAAATGTGACAATTATAACATGACTTATCACAGGGAATGACTGCACAGAAACTTACAAAACATTATGTAATAATAGAATCCAAAATGTATAGTAGATACTGTAATAATAAAAGGGAAAGAAAGTGCTCTAAAGGATATAACTGTATGTGTGTTTAACTGTGCAACATAGATAACTATATTACTAAGTTTTTGTTAGGTCATCAAACAGAATGGCTTGTACTGTCATTGTTTGATTGTCTGCTTTTTATGCTTTGGTTTGGGGACTTGAGCAACTACTTCTAAGGTAACAATATGTAATTTATCAACTAGTGATTTCTTACTGGTTTTTTTTTTTTTTTTTGGAATTCTGTATTATTTCTACCCTTTTTTCTGTTTTGTTTTTTTTTCTATAAATAAGAAAAATAAATTATATATACATACATATATGTATGTACCAATATGGGCAAATCTCCCTGTTTAAGAAAAGGACCCATGGTGACAATTTTATTTATGCTGTGATAACTCTTTTATAAATTTTTTCTAAAAGCCATGAGCTTTCAATGATATGACCGGCCATAGCAGCAAAGTAATTTTTTATCTTCTAAACTCCAGACACTAAACAGAAAACCTGAGAGAGAGGAAAAGAAATCTGCAGACATCTTCAGCCCCTGGGTAGCAGGATCTTCCCACCTGTAGGAGGGAGGTGACGGGGGAGTAGAGGGTCAGCAGGTGTGGTCAGGTCAGGGATATCAAGGAGGACGAAGATCCTGCAGTCATAAAAGCAACAACAAAAGCCACAAGAAACTCTTCTCCATGATTTGCAAGGCCAAGGGAGGGATAGAGCAGCTGTGATGGCCCGTGCATAGGTGTGGGTCCTCCTGAGAGCCCCTAAGGGTTTGCATTGCTCACGGTCACAAAGTTAAAGCAGGGAAGGTTTGTCCCAGAGCAGAGTCTCGGAGGTTTCTGTCCATGGCTCCACTGCTTTAGGCCATGGTGAGGCAGAAGCCTATGACAGAAGGGCACAGTGGAGAAAAGCTACTCCCCTCATGGCAGCCAGGAAGCAGAGTGAAGGGGAAACAGCCAGCGAGGAAGGGGCCAGGGCCAGGGACTTGTCCCCATACCCATTCCCTCAACTGAACCCAGCTCTTAGGTTTCCATCACTTCGTGGTAATTCCACCAAATTATGGATCTGTCAATATCAACGAATTAACCCCCTAATGAGGCCAGAGCTCGCATAGCCTGCTCACTTTCTAAAGCTGAACCTTGGAACACTGCTGCTCTGAGGACCAAACGAGGAACACACGAGCCTTTGGGGACATTTGGGACCCAAACCATAAATGCTGCCTCTTATAACTAAAGCATCTCGGATAGCAAAAGCTAACGCCCACAGGCACTATCTCCCAAAACGGTTAGACTGCAACCTGCCTGTACTGGACCCAAGATTGTAAGCACACAGGGCCAAGGCACTGACAGGTGCGTGACCTGCAGGAGAGTGAGATTGCTAACACTAGAAAACTGTGAACCAGAAAATCCAAAAGGACTAAGCAGGCCGCACAGAGGCCAATCTGAAAACAGATTTTAGTTGAAACTAAAAATAAGGAGTATTAACTTTTTTAAATTATTTAGTTATCTAGAAAAAAAACCAAGTTTTGTCACTTTGATTATGTTTATTTACAGTTTATATATACACAGTGATTATACGCATTCATTGGGAATTTGCATCTGTATGCAT